CCTTGATTGATGAGATGATGGCTAGAATCTCTAAAGCAAAGATCTTCACCAAAGTCAATATTCAGCAGGCATTTCACAAAATACGTATGTCAAAAGATTCGGAGGACTTCACTACCTTCCGCACTCGTTACGGAACATTTAAGTACAAAGTACTCCCATTTGGCTTGACTAATGGCCCTGCCACCTTTCAACGTTTTATCAACAATATCTTAATGGAATACCTAGACGACTTCTGCTCAGCTTACCTTGACAATATCTTGATCTACTCAGATTCAGAAGCGGAGCATGACCTTTACGTACAAAAAATATTGGAGATATTGCGAGACCACGGCCTCCAGGCAGACATCAAGAAGTCTGAATTCGGCGTGACACGTACGAAATTCTTGGGCTTCATCATTGGTACCACCGGGATTGAGGTAGACCCCGAGAAAACTGAGGTTATCAAGAATTGGGAATATGCTAGCAACGTTCGCGGCGTACAAAGCTACCTAGGTTTCTGTAACTTCTACCGTCGATTTATCAAAGACTACAGCAGTATTTGCCGACCACTCACATTACTGACCGGAAAAGGCGTCCCCTTCCACTTCGGTGGAGCTTGCAAGGAGGCATGGGAGCGTCTCCGGCACGCTCTACAGACGGCTCCTATCTTGTGTCACTACGATCCATTCAAGCAAACTAGACTCGAAACTGACTCTTCTGATGGGGTAGTGGCTGGCGTGCTTTCACAACTTCAAGACGACGGAATGTTCCACCCAGTCGGTTTCTTCTCTAAAACCATGATAGACGCAGAGCTGAATTACCCGATCCATGATAAAGAGCTACGTGCGATTTTCCGCTCTTTCCAACAGTACAAACCTGAGTTGCTGGGTGCGCAAAAGACGGTTCACGTCTATACCAATCACCGCGCCTTGGAGTACTTTATGTCAACAAAAGATCTCAATGCTTGACAAGCACGGTGGGCGGAGTTCTTCGCCCAATTCCACTTTGAGATCATGTACCAAACAGGAGTTACAAACACCCTGGCAGATACACTTTCCCGTAGAGATCAAGACCTCTCACCATAAGAAGCTGAGAAGCGTGCTCTACGCAACCAACAGATGATTCCCAATGATAAGATCAGTAACAAAATTCTCCAGGAAATGGCATAGACGCAACTAGCTGACCTGCAAATTGTTGACCACAATTATGTGGAAATCTCACCGCTTGGCACCCGTGAGACTGTCTCACCAGTCGATTTAGTACCACTAGAGCTCCCTGAAGAACAGTTTCTAGTTGGTGAGGCCCCTGACGCTACGTCAACAGCTGCTTACAATATCGAAAACTACGATATCATCGACCAAGTCTTTACAGCAAACAAGGAATCGGAGGAGCTTGAAACTCTACGCGAGAAGGCTCGGCAGCATCACCCCGAGTACACGCTGGCTAGCGGTAAGCTCTTCTTCCATGGGCGGTTGGAGGTTCCTCTGGAACCACCAGAGCTCCGTACGACTTTAATCTGTCACGTACACGCTCAACCTCAAGTTTCGCATGCTGGGAACAGTAAGGTCAAGCTCCTCTTAGGCCGCAAATATCACTGGGCCGGAATGACGGCCGATATCACTCGTTATATCTCTAACTGCAGCTGTGCTTGTATGAAGGCGAGGAGAGATAAGACTTCTGGCTTCCTCCACCCCCTATCAATCCCCGCGCGACCTTACCAGCATTTGACCATGGATTTCACGGAGCTACCGCTAGATGAGAACGGTTTTGACGCTGCTTTCGTGATCATGGACAGACTATCAAAGAAACTAGTCTCGATCCCCTGCCATAAGACCATCACGGCAAAGGAGATGGCGACGCTATTTGCTGTCCACTGGAGTCGTCACTTTGGGATGCCAGACTCCGTAGTCTCCGACCGCGGACCTCAGTTTTTATCAAGTTTCTGGAACAAATATTGTCGTATTCTCGGCACCAAAGTCAAGTTGACTACATCATATAACCCCAAAGTTGATGGCCAGACGGAAGTCATGAATCAGTATATCAAGCAGAGACTTTGTCCATTCTGTACCTACTACCAAGACAATTGGAGCTCTCTCTTACCAATTATGGATATTGCTCAGCTTACGCTACCTCACGAATCTCTTGGCAACTTGTCACCATTCCAACTACTCAATAGCTACGAGGTGCGTGCATCGTGGGACTTACATAACCCTGAGCCTCCCGCTACTGCCACGGAGACCTTGAATCGAGAAGATGCTCTCTGCGTAGCAACTCGCATGAAGGATGCAATGGAATTCGCTAAATCCTCGCTTAAGATTCAACAGGAGAAGATGGAGCGGTTAGCTAATTGTAGCCGTCGGGAAGTCAATTGGGAAGTTGGAGACATGGTTCTAGTCTCTACCGCAAACTGGAAAATGAGCAGACCTTCACGTAAGCTTTCAGACAAGTGGTATGGCCCTGTTAAAGTACTAAAGAAGGTTGGGGAGAGCTGGGAGTTGAAGTTACCGGAAGAATGGAAAATCCATCCTGTATTTCACTCCCATTTGCTGCGGAAGTTCGTACAGGACCCACTACCAGGACAGGTTCGACAAGCCCCAGCACCAATTCAACTACTCCCTGAGCAAGACAAATGGGAAATTGAGGGGATATTAAGCTCCCGAGTCTATTGCAACACTCTCCAGTACCAGATTCGATGGAAGGGCGCTGACAAAGACCTCGAATGGTACCCCTGCTCCGACGCTATGACTGCACCTCATATGATCAAGAGATTCCATATACGCTACCCAACAGCCAGGGGACCACCTAGACTACACCCAAAGTGGCTAGAGGCGTAAAACAATGGTATCAACGACTACTCCGAATTGGAAGACGATCACGCTATGACTGCAACTGCGCGGTCGCAGTTCTTCAGAAGGGGGGGTAATGTCACGATCCGTGAGAGCCGTATTGCGTGCGTGTGGGGATACGGGTTAGCGCGCCTTGGCATCACGTTGGATGACTGAGCAATGCCGAGGGAGATATCTTAGAGAGGGTCGAGAGTAGCTACCTCCTCTCTTTGTCTTTTATTGCCTTTACAAGCGTACCTCTTGATAGCAATATAATAACTTATACAACCACCTTGACGTGCCGTAACACTAGTTCCCTGTCATCCAAGATGTTTCTAGGAACCTCCCTTTGTATAATTGCCTGCGCTAGACAGCGTAGGCTACAGGAAACCTAAGACTTGACAGCTGTTACAACTAGTTATGCAAGCAGGAGTACTATCCAATGACATTCTGTGAAAGTCTAAATTATGGAGATGGTTTTCAACTCTATGGGAAAAGTACAATGGTCCTCATTTAAAATTAAAAGTTTAAAAAATCAATTGATATTCTCAAAAAATACACATCTATTTCAAAAATTATTGCTCTGTATTATACAAGTCTACATCGAAGCCCTCGGTATAGCTTTCAGCTAAAATGAAAGCGTACTACTTGTTTTGTAAAAGTTTTCTCCATCCTAATACTCTGTGTACCCTCCATTTGCCTTTATCACTGCTACACATCTTTCGTGCATGCTGCCAACTAGTGACAACAGCTCCTCAGACGGTAAGGAGTCCTATGCGGCCTGCAGCAATGTTTTCAACGTGGTAGAGCGCACTAGCCTGACCCCATTTGTCTCTGGACTATTTACCTGAATGTGATTTTTTAAGATGTTCCACAATTACTTGATTGGGTTCAGGTCCGGAGAGTAAGGTGGCCATCTACTAGGCATTATTCCAACCTCACGCAGCGCTTCAATCGCTGAGTACGCTTTATGACATGGTGCATTGCCGTACATGTATAGAATTTCTGGATTTTCCAAGTGAAATTGATTCAAAAGAGGCAAAACCCTTTCACAAAAAGGTGAGGGCATCATTGATCCCCAATCCTTCTCCCAGACTAGGAATGAGCCTTTCTATGATCCATAAAATGATCCCCAAAACATACAGCTGTTCCCATAAGCATGATGAGCCACAATACAGGTCTCATCAAACTCTTTATCTGGCTAAACCCTGCTATCAGTGCAAGGAAGATTTTGATAGAATCTATGCGTACTTTTCTTGTGACACGAGATTTCATACGAGAATCACCCAATACACAGGTTTTATCAGTCCATAGTATTCGACGCCATTTCTCCTCGCTCCAATCTAAATGTAATTGGGTGAGCTCCAATCTTTTCTGCTTATTCACCGCGCTTAACGGAGGCTTCTTCCGAGCAATGCATCTGCTGTAACCTATTTTACTGAGGGCATTTGAAATTAAACGTTTACTGCACCCCCAGTGGCTGAAGGGTCCCATCGCTTGTTCTAAAAAGCACATCTGTCAATTTTCAGGAGATTCCTGCACAAAAGCCTGTTGAGATAGTACCGACAAATAACAGTCACGGTACCGAAGGTGCAAACCCACGCCTAGCACTGCAACATGCACATCTACTGCTCGCCACCAAGCTTCGGGCGCGGGAGCGCCCAGGTAAAAACTATACATGGAAGTGATCGGAGTGGTGTCAGGCTCGCTGGCTAGTTCGTAGGTCAAGGGTCGGAACAGGACGGAGTCGGGACGGAGTCGGGACAGATATAGTTGGGACAGATATAGTTGGGACGGATATAGTCGGGACAGATATAGTCGGGAAAGATATAGTCGGGACAGGATGTGATCTGAACGGGACGAGGGCGAGACAAGACGGAGGCGGAACGGGACAGAGTCGGGGTATAAGGTAAAGCTTATAATAATCAGATCAATCTAAAGTCTAGAATAATTACAAGACAAAAAGCTACAGAACAAACCCAGTCCTAGACCTTCCTTAAGTACTCAAGAGCGGCTACTACAATCAGGGGTATGGTAGTCTACAGCTATAACACAGCAACTGATTGCTTATGTTGATTAGTAACTGTTGCTATCATAACATTGTAACCATTGCAACGCATTGACTATGTTACTAGGGAAGTTCCTGACTTGGTTGACCAGACTAAGCGCAGCATTTCAGTATTAGCCCATGGCACAATGGTAGTGACAAGCAGGCCGTTTTCCCCGTGGGAGAGCCGGTCTGTGACAAGTGGCGACACTATAAGCCTCTGGAATACAAGCGCTAGCCGCAAGAGGTCAGATACCGCTCAGCGTATATGCAACAGCATTGAGTGTACAGATGTATCTCGAGCGTCCCTAAGGGAAACCAGTACGGTCGCCCCTGGATCAGCTATACAGGGGCGCTCAATTAGGGTACTGAGCTGCGATTATAGGGGCAGTGATGCAACTGGCAAGCAGAGGATATACGTGAGCCGTAGGAGCAGCAATGGCCGCTCATGAACTGTGGATTCATGAGCGTTGGATTGGTAATGTGATTACTATGGATAGTCAATCACGAGATGGAACTAAGACTATGTTATCGACTTTAAAACTTGTTGTCGATATTGTATATGTATGTCTGTTATCACAGACATTGGAAATAATTCATGAGATTGCTTAATGAGAGGCTAGTATTGATTCCGATATAATATTGTAGAAGACTTGTCCCAACTATCAGAGGGCTACAACGTCTTTATCTATCTACAGGTAAATTCCCCATATTCCAACCACGCTAGCCATACAGGACGTAGCATGTAAAGCCTGATTCGTATCATCATTTTGGGTTTGAGGTCTACCGTGCATATGCTACTCGAGTCGCATGTCTGACTACTATGCGACACGCTTACGTATCAATCTAAAAACCCACACCAAAACCGAAACTACTCACAACCCTGATGATGACCCCATGAATAATTGGAACAGTAGCCTGCAACATAGCACAATTAGGCTAGACATCGTTGACCAGGACCTAATCCGAACACTATGACATGGGTTGTTAGAGTATAGAGAAGACTTCGGAGTAAGAATTGCCTGAGAACGGAGAAGAAGTTCAGTTTGCTTAATTGACTAATAGACTACAGGTATTATGATATATACAGTGGAATTATAAGAAACAGAGGTTACCCGGAACCGACTCGACTGCATAAATAAGTGGGACCCCGTACCAGAAAATAATTATCCAGTGACTGAGAATACTGGGTCACGCAATAGAAGTACGAACAAACCAATGACTGGATTTGTTCGGGAAGAATGGGATTCAAGCAGACTCTAACGTTGAGTCTGATTGGATCAGAAGTGTGGGATCCTGCCCGAACTCAGAAATATAGTTCAGGCAAGATGCATGCAACCACATTGGTCGATAGAAAGAAAAGCAGGAAGCTGTATTTCCAACATGGGTCATATAAATGTATATAAGATAGCATATGTTCATACTTCTGTCAGTATCAAAATCTGTCAAACACATCCTCTACATACTCCAATCAGATATATCAAGTGACAAGTAACTATGTTCCCATATGAATCATAACCTTAACAAAGCCTCAAGCTCATCAACTTGTTCCGCGCTTAATTTTGGTGAGAGTCCTTTGCAAGGTATAGGATTCTCAGTCTCTCTAGCATACATAAGTTGCACTTGCCTTCTTGTGAAGCTAAGTTTGTTGGATATATGTTGTGATGTCAAGTCAAGTCTTTTTTATGTTCTTATTTCAATACATTGATTGCGAGTTAAATGCTTACAAACTTTAGTTTCTGAAGCAGACTTTTGGAGAGACATTGTTTGCTAGAATAGAGGATGAATTGATAGTGATGTTAAGAATCAGAAGCTTTGTTGGTTAAGCAGTCAAGAGTATTGTTGAAAAGTGTTTTTCTAACTGATTATTAGAGGAAGACAATTGGACCATACTTCATGGCAAGCGGGGTAAGGAGGAGAGACAGTCTAACCTGTTACGAGCTAGCCTAGCTGCGCCTACAGGGCTAATCCCTTCAACAACTCAGTTTGAAGTTTTACCTTTTCCAACCTAGAGGCACTGTACTACAAATACTCGTCTCATAGAAATGACTGACAAGCTGGGTGTTACAGGCTGCGCTTATCTCCTACAGTACCTCTATGTTACAGTTTGACTATTGTCTGAGCTTATGTGGATACCTAAGCGTATTGTTGAAGATTCATGTTGTAAGACTGTAAGGAAATGATAGAGGAAACTGGAAGATATGTCACTACTAGCTAAGAGGCCAGATCAGTGTCACAGTGTAGTGATTCTTGATAATGTGTGGCTGGGTGGTAAGTATTTGGCCTAGGGTGAAGAAATCAGTCAAGACAATCACTGAGGGGCTAAATGTTATAAATTCTTATGAGAATGTAGCGAGATTTCTCTTTATTCTTTATACAGTTAATTAAATCAACATAATCATCATCAACTCGTGTTTCCTGTCACACTCTAGGATTCGAAACGTTAGACTCGAAACTGGGTTGTTAAGGGATAAGCCCTGTAGGCGCAGCTAGGCTAGCTTGTAATAGGTTAGACTGTGTCTCCTCATTACCTCGCTGTTATGAATATGTTAGATTTAATCTGGATGTGGTGGTACAGGGGTTACTTTCTTCATTTGGTTAGGTCTGAGGCAATGGGACTTAGATTTGTTCAAGCTGGAAATTTGAATTAGCTCATTAATTCTAACAACTTTTTTGCTTATTGGATAATTTGCTTATTGGGAACTTGATATTTTGATAACATGATAATCTGAACATTTGAATTTGTAACTTTGATAATCCCAGCCTCGATCACCTTCATTTGTCTCCTTGTAATCAATTTGCACCTTCGCACCTTTGTTACTTTGTAGCCTCAAACCTTCGATAATTTGTCTTCGTCGAAATTGACTCGACCTCTGCAGCTTAACAGCTTCGAAAATCTGCCAATAAGTAGATTCATAACACTCGCTTGCCATGAAGTCTGTGTCAGTAAAAGGGTTATACTTGGGTGTATGAAATTTTCTATGTAATTGTGGTGTTAAGGATGTCGTTAGGACTCTGGCAGGGTTCCGATTTAGCTCATTAGCGAGGCGCTTGGAGTAGAGGAAGAAAGGGTAGAGGGAGTAAGAGAAAAGAGACAACAATTTATATATTTCGAGATACTAGTTAATTAATTATATACACTGACTCTGTGACAGCACCCAATTTGTATTATTTCGTGTCTTACCAACAGTATGGTCCAATGTGTCACAGACCAAGGGCCTATTCTGAGTCAATAGGAACTCTTTACAAAGATATCTGTGGTATTCTGCTATATTCTATCCTAATCTGTTCTGTTCTATCCTACCTTACTCTATTCTATTCTATTCTATTCTATTCTAATCTGTTCTGTTCTGTTCTGTTCAGTTCTGTTCTGTACTGTAATTGTCTAGATTATTCTATTCTGTATTAGAGTATACTGGAAAGTTCGGGAACAATAGAGAAGAATATATAATGGGTATTTGGGATGACTATGGTTCGGCAGATTATGGTCTTGTATTCTTAGGAAAATTTTGATAATATTGAATTTGTTTACATCTTGACCTTTTGACATCTTGGAATCTTGACATATTGAATCTTCGACTTGTTGAACTCTCGACTTAATGACGTTTTGACATATTGACATCTAGACATCTTGACACAATGGTCTTATTCTAACAATTGCTTAGAGAAACACATTTTCAACAACACTCTTGACTGCTTAACCAATGTCAGACCAGTATCAGAACCCGGTGGAATTCGTATTCCTGAATTAATGTTTCGTGATTCATGTAAATTCCATTCTTCTAACATGATTGTAACATTATTGTCAGAATAATATGCCAAGCTGGTACCTGACATAATTTATGATTGCCTCAGGAAAACCTTGGCGTTTTGGGTAATTTTCAGCTAGAAAATACTTGGCGTCCGTGTAACAGAAGTGGTGGACTGGTGTTGAGTTGGTTTAGGATTACATCTTGGCTACAACATGTTTGGATTGTATCCTGTGATGTAAGGAAGCTATTTCTAGATATTATCATCATATGTCAGGTAGTAGATATGTGTAGATATATAAGCTGAGAGAAAGAGGAAGATAGACAGACAGACAATTAAATCTTTTTATTTCACTTCAATTAAAAGCTCCTGTGCAAGCTATTCTTCCAGATACCTCTAGTCTCAATCATTACAGCTTCCGAACCAGCTCAAAAGGTTCGACAACCAACAAAGCCTCTGATTCTTAACATCACTATCAATTCATCCTCTATTCTAGCAAACTATGTCTCTCCAAAAGTCTGCTTCAGAAACTAAAGTTTGTAAGCATTTAACTTGCAATCAATGTATTGAAATAAGAACATAAAAAAGACTTGACTTGACATCACAACATATATCCAACAAACTTAGCTTCACAGGAAGGCAAGTGCAACTTATGTTGAGCGGGTTGGTTTGCAAGAGCTTGTGGCTGTTAGGCATAGATTATATCACTTGGTGAAGCGAGTGGGAAAGTAAATGAGTCTGTAAATCTGTCGTGGAGAGTTGTTAATTACTCCCACTAGGACACAGAGTGCTATATAAACTATATTTTGTAATAATAAAATCTAGTGGTTGGTATTTACGTCAAAGCGCATTAATACCAACCTCACAATAAATGGGAAATTAGTGACGTGTCTTCTACACATCCCTGTCTTTACCATAATTAGAAGCACCTATTTCAACAATTATTGTTTTCATGGATTTCCTCAGTTTATACCATTGGATAGAGGAGCAAATTGGGTGGGTCATTTCTGGACTTATGTGTGTATGTGTTTGTGTTTGTGTGTTTTTATTGTACTACTTGAGTCTATGACTATCTAGCACATTGGGCTCCTCTCTGACCCAGGCCACACCTTGTACAGTGCTCCTATCCTCTTTTGTTACTTGAAAGATCATTGATATATTCCCCTTGATGAATAGCCATTCGGCTCAGTATTTACCCGTGGAATTCTGCCACCTTTTCCACGGAACCTTCTACCCCAAAAAAATAAAAATGGTAGCAATGGAAACTGCGTGCGCGGGAAAAAGTCTCAAAAATCCTGCAGCCTCAGCCAGGCGAGGCCTAGACACCGGGACCACATGAGGTGCGCATATTCATCTATATCTCCCTTCTTTGTAACAGTCGAGGTCGACTTGATCCAATCCACCATCTCCGTATCGGGTGCTGGGTACGCTCCGGAAACTCATCGGATGGCTTTTCCTCCATGATCAAGGGTGGGTGACGAGTAGGGCTCCGACCCTACCATCTGATCTGATCGTGGTTAGCTTCATGATAGTGGTGATAGGGGAATGTGTTGAGAGATGAAGACGATACAGACGGCGAAAGCGAATGGGAATCCTCGTCGAAGTGAGGACTTTGTTACTCAATCTCGGCTCTGCAGACTCTACAGTGAGAGCTGGAGGTTCGTAGGGGACACCACTGACAGGTGTTGAGAATAGTCCCCCTTATGTGTGTAGAATGACTGGTATAAAACAAAGATTTTCCACCACGTACTATCTGCAGACTGATGGTAGTACAGAAAGAATAGACCAGGAAGTATTGAATAATCTTCGAGCGTTTATCAGCTATGCACAGTGTCAGAGCAGCATGTAGACAGCAGGGCGGA